CTTGTTTATTGAAGTGACCTATCTTGCACGTAATGCTACAGAATGTACCAGGTCGAAGACAAGCTAGCATCTCCTCGCAGCTCGATTTCGATGGCATACGTGTCAGTGATGGCACATTAGTTAATTTCAGTTTCCCTGCTGCTACGAGCATTTTAAGCGGCCCAGTGGGTTCTATACGGGGAAATTGGATTGTGGACGTTTGGCGCCTGGTGATTTCTGAAAATGTGTTGTTTACGATGATATCCTAAAAAGTATATATAGAAAAAAAATTAATAAACAATATAATTTATGTTTACCGGCAAAATAAGTTATTAAGAAGTTCGCGTTTAAGAAGTTATTAAGGTATGTGAGTAAGTTGTATTTCAAAATATCTTCAATACACAATTACCGTAAAAGGTCCATTTAGCCCCCCCCCCCTCTAGCCCCCCTCTCTAATAATAAGTCAGATTTTGTAATAAGCCCCCCTCTCTATTAACCCCCCTCCCTCCCTCGACCTCACACCCGTTAGAGGTTACTTTTAGTAACTTGTGGGGTAAAATAAAGTTTGTTGTTGTTGTTGTTGTTGTCAAAGTTAATGTTAAATATAGCATTTGAATTGATTTATGTGAGGCTGATGTAAATGATGTTTCAGCAATCGTTTCAGTCTCTTTATATTGAACTAAGTCTCCCCTCTCTATTAAGCCCCCCTCTGTAATAAGCTCCCCTTCGTGGGCCTGAAATTAAATAAGCCCCTATCCTTTAAACTCGGAAAAGGGTTAAAATGTCCTAAACTCACCTGTAAAACTGGATCCATTATGACAGGATCTTCGGGAAAGTGTTCTGTACCGAACAGACCAAATGGGTAAAACTGACAGGGGACGAACTGAACGAAATAAAGATAATTACATGTCAAGTGATATTTACCATTATTTAGGGAGATCAGATCCCGGCTGCAACAATTAGAAAACTGTGTTTCCTGTCTTTTTCTTATCCACCTTTCTTTTTTAGACCTTCACACTCGTACCCCCCCCCCCCCCCCCCCCCCCCACCCCCCCATTGAGCAAGTGTCACGCCGGCTTGTCACGCTGTATTCTGAATAGAATCCCATGTCAAATAATGTCACTAAAACGTGGCGACATGCTTCCTAGCCAGTTTTTGAAGCTAAAATTCCCCTTTTGGATTTGATTGAGCCCGTTTGAAGTTATAAATTGACAGTCTAGGAAATCGAAAGTCATTCAACTTAAGAATCGATGATATAGGCTTGCAAATGTTTTATATTTGGATTACAATTCAGACATGACTGCAAGTGAAAACAAATACCCTACAAGATCATCAAGATCAACGACCAAATATATTACTAAACACAACATCCATCTTACCTAAACGAGGAAAAGGTCGCTTTGTTCCGTATTTCTCTCAATCGTGAGATCACAGTGGAAAAAAATCTGGGAGAACAACTTCTGTACCTACAATACAAATCATAATCGAAATTCCCGCCGTCTTCGCGCGTCGCATGACGACTGATGACGTCGAGATCTCGTGACAATTTCCGAAGAATGAAATCGAGACGGTACTCGGGTTATCTCGGTAAAATCGAAACGCCGAAAATTCCATTGTTCTCTTATCCAATGAGAACTCGGATCGATTCCTGTATTTAGCCGCAAGTTATATTTGTGGATCGATCTAAAAACTCATGAAACCATTAAATTGGCTCGTTAAGAACTAAAAATCCACTAAAGTCGATGAACTTAGAGTTAAGGAAAAAAAGAAAGGTAGTATTTTATTTTAACTTCGTTCTTTGCAACTTTTCTAAGCTTATATCGATCAAACCTCAACTTTTAGTCCCCGGGGGGGGGGGGGGGGGGGGGTACTCCTTGTATACGCTATATAGGTACGTGCCGCTGGACAGGGTATGGTTTTTTAGCATTTTGCTCTGGAACAGGGTATACCAAAAGGCATTTTTTGGTCTGGAACAGGGTATCAGTTTCCCAGAAGTTGGCCGAAGATCGGTAATTTATACTCTGGAATAGGGTAGACGAAGTCTACGTTAGTCAGACGAAACGAAACGCGCAGGAGTATTAAAGAAGCTTTACAGCTACACGTTAGCAGTGCTGATTTATAGTTTAGCCTTTTGGGTTAGAAAAAAAGTCGTTAAAAATCCTCTGGAACAGGGTATCTTTTTTCAACATTTAGTCTGGAACAGGGTCGCAAAAATTAGCGTTTTGTGCTCTGGTACAGGGTAAGGTTTTTATAGCCCAGCGGCACACCCCCACCCAATTTTTTTGGGAGTACCCCCCCCCGGGTTTTAGTCCCCCTGGTCAGTTTTAAATCGCCACTGGCGACCGTTAATTTTTAGCCCTGCTTGTCTAGTCTAGTCTAAAAGGAAACAGTCCTATGTAAACAGATCAGATGTCTGAGGAAGAGTTTATTTGACGCAAGAGCATCTGGTGACCGGTTTTCAAATGACGACTGGGAGAAAATGGCTGAGGCAGTTGGTCGTAAAATTTAATGTGCATAATAATAATTATTGCTATGCTTCATCAAACCGAAAAAATATAAAAAAGAAAAATGTATTGATCTGAATGAGGCAATGAAAAACGAACAGGAACTGGCGGCTCTGTGACAGCAGCTGATGACTGAGTTACAGGAACTGACGGCTGAGTGACAGCAGCTGATGACTGAGTTACAGGAACTGACGGCTGAGTGACAGCAGCTGATGACTGAGTTACCGGAACTGTTTGACTGCGTGACAGCAGCTGATGACTGAGTTACAGGAACTGACAGCTCAGTGACAGCAGCTGATGACTGAGTTACAGGAACTGACGGCTGAGTGACAGCAGCTGATGACTGAGTTACCGGAACTGACGGCTGTGTGACAGCAGCTAGCTGATGATTGTGTAACAGGAACTGAAGGCTGCGTGATAGCAGGTGATGACTGTCTAACAGAAACTGACAGCTGTGTGATAGCAGCGGATGACTGAGTTACAGGAACTGACGGCTGAGTGACAGCAGCTGATGACTGAGTTACAGGAACTAGTACTGATGGCTGCGTGACAGCAGCTAGCTGATGATTGTGTAACAGGAACTGAAGGTTGCGTGATAGCAGGTGATGACTGTCTAACAGAAACTGACAGCTGTGTGACAGCAGCGGATGACTGTGTAGCAGAAACTGATGCCTGTGTGACAGCAGCTGATGACTGTAAAAGGAACTGATCTGTGACAGCAGTTGACAACTGCATTACAGGAACTTAAGATTGCATAACAGAAACTGCATGATGACTGTATGACAGCAGTTCACAGACAACTGTGTTACAGGAACTAAAGGCGGTTGCGTAGCAGGAACTGATGCCTGCGTGACAGAAGTTGACAACTGTGTTACTGGAACTAAAGGCAGTTGCGTAGCAAGAACTGATGACTGCATGCACGAGAGCAGTTGATAACTGTGTTACAGGAACTAAAGTACAGACATCAATGCCTACAAAACTTGTGGGTAGCTGAGAAAGTAATTTCCTTCTTTATAAAATGCTTCTTGTACTGAGCTCTTGTTGGATCTTTAACTGTGCAAGAGTTTTTTCTTGTTCTTCAATAATGTCAGAAAATTTAATTTTTGCTGTAATGCAGCTCTCCTAGCTTTAATGCCCAGCAGGCTATTTCTGGACGACGAGTTACTCTTGATGGATTTTTATGAGTATTTCGATCTGCGAGATCCGTGTGACAAACTTGATTTTGTTCCTTGTCACGATCCTTCTCTTTGAAGTGCTCTAGCCAATGCAAAGCAGCTGCACAAGCTTTTTCCCAAGAATTCTGAGTTCATTATTGTACCACGATTGCATGATTCAGCAATCGGTTTTCTCGAACTGACCTTTGTAGACCACGTCAGAGGTTGCAGAAAAGTAAATTTCATGAATGATGATGTTTTTGAAGAGGTAAATTGAAATACATAAATGATTGGGATCTTCTTGAAGGTTGATTTTGGATGTGGAGGTCATGCTTGAATGATTAGATTATTCAGTTTAACTTTTGAAATTTCAAACAAAGAATCAAAACCGTTCTGGGTTTATTTCAAAGTAATATTTTTTAAGCAGAATGCTTCAACCATTTTGACTGTAAAGTTATACTATAAAAGCTCTACTAAGCCACCCCCTGCCTTTGGAAGTCAGATTTAGTAATAAGCCCCCTCTATTGATCCCCCCCTCTCTATTAAGCTCCCCCCTCACTCCAGATAATAGTGCGAAACTGCTTGTTTACCAGGGCATCCGTGGAATTGTGTTTGTAAGACCTCCTATCATTTTGAATTGCAAAGTTATTCAGAGGGTTATACCCATCCCCTTGGCCCCTTTTTTGCCAGAATGCTATTGTCTTTCGCGACATCTACGGTTGGATGTGTAAAGTAAATCCCAAGGTGCGATAAAGTTGACAATAGCGCTCTAATGAAAGGCCCACTTTACAAAGCGTTTTGTCAACAAGTATGAAACAAAATTTTTTATTTGACTCGAATGGCTAACATTCGAAACCTCCAATATCATTTAATTCGCCTTCAACATCACTTAGTTCCATCTCTGCCATTATCGATGAGAATAACACTCGCTGGTCGGGGTGAGCTGAGAAAGATTACTGACCAAATATGGGGTGAGCGACGGATCATAACAATAATAGAAGCGCGCAATGCAAAGTGGGTGGGTCAGATTCTTTAATATTTCGGAATATTTTGATAACTTGTTTTGAGCTGTCCTGTTTGCAGCTATAGGGATTAGGAGATAGGGCCCAGCCTCCTCATTCCTCTGGATAATTAGATACATGCACAAATAATTCTAATTGAACAAAACTGTACAACTGACTATGATAATGCAACAAAAGTGATGTAAGTATAGTTTTTAATGAACATATTTAACTGTAATGTAAGTAAAACTATGTAAATAACGTAATGTTATGTAGGTATAAATTAAAGTGATGTAATGTAATGTAAGTGCCTTAACGAATAATAAACTTAAGCAGTTGAAAAGAAGGCCTGAAAAAAATTCAGGCTCCAATGGGATTCAAACCCATGACCTTTGCGATTCCAGTGCAAACGCTCTACCACCGAGCTTAATGATGACTATTTATACCCGTGAAGTGATGAAATGGCAATGATGAATATTTCATATATTCATCATCGCCGTAAGTGCCTTAGTCGGCTATTATATCATTGTAAGGCAGTTTACATTGGAAATAGCACTATATAAATAAATATTATATTATTATTATAACTCTTAGTCATTAAATTATGTACATGCGATTAAAATAAATGTTAAAAAATTAAAAAAACAAAACAAACTTGTTTGTGTCTTTGATTGTGACAAACTGGCTCTGACAACTGCTCGAACTATTTGATGACGTGCTGAAGATTTTATTACGGGCGCGGATCTGGACCGGTTTCCAACGTTTTACAGAAATCGGTCAGATTTCTTTTTTCCAGGGAATGAAAGGGTAAACTCCCGAGTTTGTAGTAGGATATTACCCATGCGACACTGGACAGTCAAAAAGTTATGTGACAAACGTTTTCTATCGAACAAACCGATTGTTGGCGTCAAGAACTTAGGAATTGATGTTTTGTAGAATCAAATCTGAAAGGTTTTTCCAGGGGACCATGCACACAGACTCTTCTAGTGCACAGTTGGGACTTAACAGTCATATTTTGTCCTGGATACGCGCCTGTATTACTTGTTCCGGGGTAACATATGCACTGAACTTCTGTATTTAAAGTATGGGTAATTGTATGAGGGCTGAGTAAAATTGAGGATAAATATCACTTGTGTTATCAGAAATTTTCAAAACAGTGATATTTATATCCTCAATTTTACTCAGCCCTCATACAACATATTACAGTGATCCTAATTTTGCGAGAAAATGTGATTACTTTTAGATGAAATAATGAGCAAAATTTGTGTGATTAAAGACTATCGGAAATATTTTAGTCTTAAGTACTCTTTGGATATCTGCCCCTTTACAGTATTTGACTGTATTTCAATATTGATTAATCTCGTTCCCAGCCAGATCTGAAAATAGTTATGTTTACAGGCATTTATAAATGAATAGATTAATCTCTAGAAAAAACAGTTTGGTGTCAGTTTATGAAAGGTTTACATATAGAGCATATGCACTTGACGTCTTAGCCACCATATTGGTGTACTGTCCCTTACAAAAAAAAAACTTATTTTGTTGGGTATACACACGGCTACCGGCCAGGACACCGGGCTGTCCGCCCCATGGCCATAATGCCATTTGAGTCCCACAGGACTGAGTGCATATGCTCTATTCTAGTTGCTAGACTGTAACCAGTCTCTATTTTTCTCTAAAAACTGTGGTGAGCTGATGCAAAATAGCTCGAGAGGCGATTGACGAAGCTGCAAGTCTTGTGTTTGCTCCCACGGTTTTTAGGGACTGTGATATAATTATCAGGAGGGGGAAATGGGCTACATGCAGGAAATTTTTAGGTAATACCCCCTCCTAAAGAAGTGAATTTAGTTATTTAGTATGAATTTTGTACAACGCCCCTCTCCAAAATTGCATTTCAGTGTTGCGTTTTTTAAAGGATAGCTTTTAACCTAGGCTCAGTTTCCAGCCGTGGGTGTTTTGGTGCGCCCGCGATCCTCTCCACTTCCACAAGTGGAGAGGATCGCGGGCGCACCGAAACACCCACGGCTGGAAACTGAGCCTACTTTTAACCTTGCCTTGCTTAATATGCACTTGAAATAACATAATTTTAAAGCCCCCAGCTACCCTCTTGAATGACCTATTTAACTTTGAGCCCCCCTAATGGCTTTGACCTGTCCTTGGTTTCATTTTACTTTATGCCCCCCCCCTGGTTTTTCCCTGGCCCCATCCTGGTAATTATTGCACAGTCCCTTAGAGATAGAGACTGTCTATCTCCTTACTAGCTTCTGTTGTTGATATCTATCAAGAAAAGTTCTCTAATTGGTGATCACTTCCTTAATTCTCACAACCTTTTCTTTAATGAGTATTATCTGTTGATATTGTAAGGAGAAATTTGAGGCTGATCCCTTTCATTTAGTTTATTTATTCATTGTGAATTACCTTGTAATTTCAGGCTGTAGTATATATGTACATAATTGAAGGACAAACAATATAGAGAAAAGAAGATGGGAAAGTTTCTCGAAAATCAATAATAAATACAAGCATAGAGAAATTTTTGTTTCTGTACAATGATCAAGTAGAAAACTTTCTGTATAATCTTTTGCTACATTTTGATGTATATTTAAAACTCGTCATCACACGTGCGATTACAGTCCCAGCGGCACACCCCAGGGGGTACTCCGCATTTAAAATGACGGGGAGGTGCAAATGGGGGCATAAAGTAAAACCTAAAAAATCCTTGGGCTTGAAGCAAAAACCCCCCAAATCCCTAAGCCAAAATTAACCCCCCCCCCACAAATCCCACGCTGAATTTTCGAAAAAATGCTCAGAAGGGATTAAATGATAATAAAGACGAACAACAGTACAAATTGAATGTTCATGTTTGTGTATATAGTATAGTAACAATTGCAGTAACAATTTTTTTGACCTCGAATCTTCTCATTCCCCCCCCCCCCCCCCCCAACATAAAATCCCTACTAAAATCAAACAACCCAAACCAAATACTTGCCAAAATTTTCTTACCCCAAAAAATCGTGAATAGACTAATTTCGATATATTAAAATTCTAAATTGGCTCTGAGGCTTAGGGGAATTTAACAAAAGAAATCCTGAAAGAAATCACATCGAGGTTGAGGGATGAATAAATAATTTTATTTTGTTGTATTCCCCTAGCCTCTGAGAGCCAAGATAGAATTTTAATACATCGAAATTGGCCTATTGTACAAACCCTAGAAAATCGTTCGCAGTCCCCTTCACTTTAAATCCGGGGTACCCAGTGGTGGATCTAGGGAAGGCCCCCTCCCCCTTGTTGTGGGCCCCACCTTATAAACAGGTATGCATGCAGCCATTATTTGGGAGAAGCATTGCATGACGATCCAAATAACGGCTGCGAAGGAATTAAACTATCAATGTAAAGGAATTGAAATGAAGTTGAAATGTCACCACAGAAAAGCTGTAAATTATTTATTTCTTTACTGCTTCACTAATAATGAGCTGGATGAAGTTTGAGCTTTTTTTCTTGATTTCTGCCCACTGAAAAAGCTCTATAATAAGCCCCCATGCAGTGGGCTTATTTAATTTCAGGCCTCAAGAAGGGGACTTATTAGAGAGGAGGGGGGGGGGGGACTTATTTTAAATCATAAATTTTCAAGAAAATTCGCATTAATTTTTCAAACTTTACTCTTTCACCACTAACTAAAACAGAACAAGAAATGTTTTTTATATATGACCATCTTACTGAAATGCAATGCCATTTATACCCTAACTCAACGATAGTTCTGGAAATTAAAGACCATGTTTCAATACAAAGTGACTGAAACACGTCAGAAAATACTGCTGAATAAAGACAATTACATCAGCCTGACAGAAGAGGGGGGGGGGGGGGGGGGATTTTTCCAAAATCGGACTTCCAAAGGGGATGGCTTATTTGAGAGGGGGGCTTTTAGAGCTTGTACGGTATTTGATTTCGACAGATGCATAAGGCTTATCACCTGATATGCTTCTGATTTCAACTGATAACACGAAGATCGACATCTTGGATGTCATTGGATATCATCTTTGGAATTTGGATTTGTTGGGGGGGGGGGGGGGGGGAGGTGTTTGAAAATTGTCTCCATACAGGAAAATATTATCCCCCCCCCAAAAAAAATAAAGGAGTGAATTATTTTGACTTGTCAAATGCATAGATCAGACCTGCAGTGCACCTTTACCAGGCTTTTTTTGGAGGGGGGGGGGGGGGGGGGGTCCTGTTGCAAAAACTGCCGTACTATTTAGATAAAAATTCCTACAGCTTATTGGCTGGTTTATTTAGTACAATATTTGATACTTCGGGTTTTACTTCAGTATTGAAAAAGTGATTAACGGTTAAAGTCCGAGAGGGCATATCCCCCCTCCTGGTCTGAATAGGGCGGTTAACTTGACACAACCTTTTCATGTTTCTTGTTAAAGAAATTTGGTTAAAAAAAGTTTCTTTTCCATCCTATGTGGTCCATGTAGAAAATAATGTGCCTCTTTTCATGAGAAGGAAGAGTTTGAGTATAAAGTTTGACAACACAGACAGGTTGTGCACGCAGGTAAACCGCTTTATCAATTGACTCACATCGGGCTCAAACCCATAACGAGAAGGGAGGATTTATATTCGACAATTATTCGCTCATGTTTTGTTATATTGTTACTGTTTTATGACGTTATTGTCATTAATGGTTAATAATAATTATTTAGTTTTCTTAAAAAATATCCGTGTGTGAGTTGGAAAAATAATTTATACTGTCACAAGTCGACTGCTGATCATGTAATATTGAAAAGAAAAGTATGCTATAAGACCTACAATAATAATAAAAACAACAAGAATAGTTTAGAGATTGAAGTTAAAGACGAAATGTAAGAAGACTTTAAGAAGACTGGAATTGAACATACAGCTGTATTGTTTACCAGGGGTAACTGACTTGCTCCGCATTGTTAGATGACGTAAGCATTTACATAAGCCATGATTAACATAAAAATAGTTTATAAATGTTTTTTTATAATAAAGACTGAATAAATAGCTGTATAAATATCAATTGTAATTATTCCTGTCCTTTCTGGGTACAAATAAATGGTTGTTGTTGTTGTTGTTATAAGATTCCTTCCTTATTACTCGTAAGCTGTTTACAAGATCACCCGGGGGGTCCTTCAATATAAAATTGATGGGTTGATCGTCGTACCTTTTAGGGGTTACAATTCATGGTTTGGTACCGCTTAGGGGTGTTAAAAATCTAAAATGACTACCGTTAGAGTTATTCCAGTATTAAGCCGTTAAAAATATGACAGAACTAGTTTTGTATTGGAATTGGTACCTCTTAGGGGTGAAAATTAATTCGAGCCACGCCCACAAAACGAGATTCTGGTACCTTTTAGGGGTTCTTTACAAAAACTCCGATGATCACCCCCTCACTTTTATATGGGAGGCCCCTCCGGGCAAGATC